GGCTGTTGCCAGAGCAGTTCATATCGATGGCGTTAGCAAGAAACTCGAGACGCGCGATGGCGAACGCTATATTTACAAACTAGCCAAGGCTCGCCATCGCCAGACCGAAGATATCGAGAAGTTCTTTCGGCATCAATGACGAGAACGGGCGACTCGTAATGGACCGCAAGAGAGCGGTGGCACGACTACTTCGAGAAAATCTCGACAGTAGAATTCTCACATCCGCCAATCCCTTCTGCTCCTCCGGTCCACGGTCCCTGTCTCGAAGATAACTGTGAGCGAAACAGAGGCGGCTTTGAAGAAGATGAAGACAGGTAAAGCAACGGGTCCCGACGACTTGGCGGCCGATCTGTGGAAGTCACAGTGCTGGAATCCTGCAGAGTGGTTGACGAAGTTCTTCAACCAAGTCGTTGCAGAAAAGAAAGTGCCTGAGAGTTGGCAACAGAGCACGACGATTCCGATCTGGAAGAAAAAGGGGAGTCCTGCAGACTGCACGAGCTACCGTCCAATTCGTCTGCTCTCCCACAGCATGAAGGTATTTGAACGAATTGTAGATCGCCGTATTCGTGACATAGTCCAGCTTACCGTGAACCAATGCGGCTTGGGACTTGGGAAAGGCTTTTGATCGCGTTCCACGTGAAGTAATATGGTATGCCTTACGACAACATGGCGTCCCCGAAGAGCTTATTGAGTGGGTTCGCATGCTTACTCGAGCCCAAAGAGCCGAGTGCAAACGTCAGCAGGCGTTTCGACGGAATTCCCCATCTCTGTCGGGGTACATCCAAGGCTCTGCGCTTTCCCCACTCTTTTTGTTGTCGTCATGGATGCCATTCACGAGATCTTCAGAAACCGGCTCCATGGACGCTTCTTTATGCTGATGACGTGATGCTCGCCTGCGAAGACAAAAACGTACTCGAGCAACAAGCGCAAGCTTGGTGCCGATCGCCTAGCGATGTTCGGACTCAGGTTGAACGTTAAAAAGACTGAGTACCTGACAACTTGGACTGGTAATTTTGATGGAACGGCACAAGCAAGTGCGGTTCTATCAAAATAAATGGAGTAGAGCTGACACGTGCAACGACATTCAAGTACCTTGGATCAGCAATTGCGTCTGATGGCAGTATGAGTACTGAGGTGAACTCGCGTGTGAGTGCGGCTTGGTCCAAGTGGCGTTCTATGACGGGAGTTCTCTGTGACAAGAAAATCCCAGAACGCCTCAAATCGAAGATCTATAGGACAGTCATAAGACCAGTGGCATTGTACGGCGCTGAGTGCTGGCCAGCGACCAGGGAACTGAAGCCCGCCTCGGTGTAATGGAGACGAAGATGCTGCGCTGGACGGCTGGTGTCACGCGATTAGATCGCGTTCGAATGATGTCATACGGGAACGCTTTGGTGTAGCTCCCATTGCTGATAAAATGCGCGAGGCCCGGCTTCGATGGTATGGCCACGTTCTTCGCGGAATTGATGACGCAAAATCGGCCTCAACATACAGTAGCGGTCAAAAGTTTGGAAACTTTTTTATTTTTGATCTAGCGCGGCCGATACACAACGAAATTGTCCCAAATTTAGATATTACATACAAAATCAAGTTCAGAATACGACGGGAAGAATAATTTCCAAAAACCTATAATCATATTTGAGAAATAAGATTTTTTTCAAGTAATGGCGCGTCAAAAGTTTGGAAACTTTTTGTTTCCCTTATCATTATGATTCCTACTCTTCAATGTTTACTTGTTTCTGTTAATTTTAGTTCAACCATTGAGCAATGTGTAATTTCAAAATGAATTCATATGCAAAGGAAGCAGTTTTTCCATGGGGGTCCTTTTTTAAACCCTACAATCCGGAATACGAAATTGAAACTGTTCTTAGTAGTTCAGTCTCTACGGAAGCAATATTATCGGATGTTTCTAGCGTTATTGGAGTCGAGTAAGCATAAGAAGAATGATCATTCACAAAAAAGTATCTTCACAAGAAAGTTGGTCCTCTTCAAATACTTCGAAACACGTCCCGTGCCCCCAACATTCCCAACTAAGAGACAACTTTTTCTGGTTTTTTCCTAATCATATGAAAGTCCAAGTGCACGCAACATCGGCCGCGACCTGGTGAATATTACGGATGATGTCCCAACAAGAAGCCATTGTTGGGCTTCAAGAGCAGGATGGCCCAACTGGCTTCCGCACTCTAACGGCTAACATGAACCGGAGCCAAGAGGTGAAACTTTGTCCTCAGCGACGAATGAGATTTCTATCTTCCTAGAAATAATATAGTGGACCCTGTGAAGTGTTTTGTCAAATGGGAACCTCATTTTGAGTATGAGATTCCAACAGTCAGAAATAGTGGAAGTACTGTCATGGATGAACATGTGTCCGACCATTCGGCGATTCCACAGTTCTAGGTATCCAGCGAAATGTGGGTTGGGCTAAGTACAAGTATAGTCTGTAGAATACAATGCTTACCTTCGATAGTCAGAACTAGCCGGAAAAGATGGGTTTTCTATCACGGAAATAACCCGATGCAGGCCTACCTCCCACTGCCGCCTTCCTCAACCCAGAAAAAGGAGCTGCTATGAAGCGACCAAGTCAAGATCTGAAGTCTAATTGAGTTCTACATCTCACGGAAAAAGTGGCATGTCGCTCTACCCACGTTCCAGTTAAGAATCCCACCAAACAATGTGCTTTAGTTCACAGTGTATGAGGTCCGACTTAAAAATCCTAAAATTATTTTATAATCAATACCATGTCAATAAAAACGACGCTAAGATAGAAATTTAAAGCTACTCATCGAATAACTAATTTATCATGTGGATTTGAGAGCTATTTTGCCGAATTCGCTTTAGAATTCGGAAGTTTCCAA